TTGTAAAACCACTCCTTCCACCATAAAATTTATGTTCGTGTGAGGTTGAGAGAAAGGAAAAAGAGCCTTATATTTGATTAAAAAGTACTAGCAATTAACGCACCTTCGGTGCTTCGAAATTTTTCGACAACTCATGAAAAACCGCATATATTGGAAACAACATCTGCAAACTTTTAGTGTACTCTGACTGCACCCAATTACAGGGTTCGTAATTTCGAACTTTTAAATTTTTTTTATTCCCATTTTAAAAGCGTCATCTCGAAAACTTAATTAGCCTCTGGAGAAATTTGGAAGCCAGATTTGCAACCACTGAGAGTCCCTGAGAGTACTCTACTATAGGGTTAGGAATCCAAAATTTTGTGTCTTTTTTTAAACCTAAGCTTCCCGAAAAAAAAATGAAAAAAAAACGTCTTATCTCGGAAACTAAAAGGATTTGAGCATTCATATTAAGAGGCAAGAATTGAGACGCCTGGTTGTACGCTGACAATAAGGTTGTATCTTCATCAAGTTAGTAGTTTCAAATTTTCTAATTAGTAGAATTAGAATTTGTAGAATTTCTTTGTAGATAAGTTGTTTGAGAAATTTTGAAAAAATCGAAAAACGTCACATCTCGGAAACGAAAAGCATTTGAGCAGTCGCGTTTAGCAGTCGCATGTGGCAAGATTTGCAACTCTTTAGAGTACCATGACAACACCGAACTATAGAGTTGGGAATTGCAAATTTTGAAAAATAATTAATATTTGGGGGCAAGATCCGCAATCTTTGAGATTACTCTGACAGGACCCAGCTACAGGGTTGGGAATTTCAGATTTTGCAAAAAAAATTAATATAAGTTTTCTGAAAATTTAGAAAAATCCCAAAAAACGTCAAATCTTGAAAACTAAAAAGAACTGAGCAGTCATATTCGGAGGCAAGATTCGCAATCCTTGAGAGTACTCTGACAGGACCTTACTACAGGGTTGGGAATTTCAGAATTTAAAAGAAAAAAAATAAATCTAGTTTTCTGAAAAATTTTGAAAAAATCGCAAAAAACGTCATATCTCGAAAACAACAAAGAATTGAGCAGTCATACTTGGAGGCAAGATTCGCAATCTTTGAGAGTACTCCGAAAGGACCCAACTACAGGGTTGGGAATTTCAGATTTTTAAAAACTAATAATAGGTTAAGTTTTCTGAAAAATTTTGAAAAAATCACAAAAAAACGTCATACCTCGAAAACTACAAAGATTTGAACAGTCATATTTGGAGGCAAGATTTGTAAATCCTTAGAGTACTCTGACAGCACCCAACTGCAGCGTTGGGGACTTCAAGTTTTGTAAATTATTTTGTTATTTGAGATTTCTGAAAATTTTTGAAAAAAATCTCAAAAATCGTCTTATCTCGTTAACTAAAATGATTCCGGCATTCAAAATTGGAGGCCAAATTCGCAACCCCTAATTCGATATTGGACTGCTCCTAACCGACGATCCTATCAAGTCAATCGAGCTGACGAAGCGTTGCCTCTAGCACGCTTCGGCTCCAACAAAACATTAAGTAGCATTAAAATGCGAAAAAAGGCAAAAAAATTAAGAGATGAAAAAATAAAGCAACTCGACTGACCTACACAACTGTGACGCTGACGCCTAAAGAAACGGGCCACTGATAAAGCAGAGAGCACACGCTAATGCACTGCCATCTCCTAATATACCACAATGCTCTCAACCTCGTTTGTGTTAACAATCTCGAAAACTACAAGGATTTGAACAGTCATATTTGGAGGCAAGATTTGTAAATCCTTAGAGTACTCTGACAGCACCCAACTGCAGCGTTGGCGACTTCAAGTTTTGTAAATTATTTTGTTATTTGAGATTTCTGAAAATTTTTGAAAAAAATCTCAAAAATCGTCTTATCTCGTTAACTAAAATGATTCGGGCATTCAAAATTGGAGGCCAATTTCGCAACCCCTAATTCGATATTGGACTGCTTAATTTAAACTCGGTAAAATAATCACTAAAATCAAATTGGAAAACCGAAAAAAAAATCTTAACCATTGCAATATACGATATAGCTTAAACATGCAAAAATAATACGTTGAAAAAGCTTAAACATGGCGAGATAGTGAAGCCCGCATTTAAATATATAATAGATAGATTAAAATTGATTATATTTTGATTTCAACGAGAGATATTAATCGACGAGAGATTATTAACTAACTAAAGTAGATTTTTTCTCAATTTTAGTAAGATTGGTACTAAAATCATATAATCGATTATCAACGCTTGGAATTGGAGGCGAGTGCTCTTATCAGTTCGCAGCCTTGAATGTTCCGAACATCATTACTTTCGGGTCAAAATATTAAATACAGAAGCGAAGCAGCACTCCGCAGATAATAGCGACAAACGTCAACGACGGACCCAAAATGCCAGAAATGTCTTGAAGACAATGAGATATTGGAACACTGGCTTCTCGAACATCCTTGAACATTGCGAGCCCGAGAATCTATCTTTGGCGACACTTCTATAGAGCTATCTATCCTAACCGACGATCCTATCAAGTCAATCGAGCTGACGAAGCGTTGCCTCTAGCACGCTTGGGCTCCAACAAAACATTAAGTAGCATTAAAATGCGAAAAAAGGCAAAAAAATTAAGAGATGAAAAAATAAAGCAACTCGACTGACCTACACAACTGTGCCGCTGACGCCTAAAGAAACGGGCCACTGATAAAGCAGAGAGCACACGCTAATGCACTACCATCTCCTAATATACCACAATGCTCTCAACCTCGTTTGTGTTAACATTTTACAATAACTCTGGTTAATCGCCGGAATAAAAATGAAGAAAAATTTTTTAAATCCTCTACTGCACCAAACAAAACTTCAAGTGACATATTTCGAACAAAATAACACATCATTTGGATCAATGAACGTACTTCATTTCAATTTGGAACCCATTTAAAGTGGAGTCTTTCGAGGTATCGATATCATCTTTCAGATGGTATCAAAAATCCGTCAAACAGGGTTAGGTTAATCAAAAAGTGAACTTGATCTGAATAAAAAAGGAGACCAGGCAATACTCGAAATTTCGAACGAAAACTACGCCACACTTGCTTCATTAAGACATAAAAAGAGAATCAAAATATGCATTTTTGATCTAATTCTTTACATCATCTTTCATTAAGTTCAACTCAATTTTGAAACCCTCGAAGCTATAAAAATTCCAAAGTTATAAAACAATAATCCAAAGTGAAACAATTCAAAAATATTTTCGGTCACATCACCCTACCTAAATGAAGAAAAGGAAAACGAATATACATTTATTATTTCAGAATGTGATCGATTTTCACGAAAGTCAGGATTTTAATATAGGGCATGTTAAAACGAAGAGTTTCACTTGATTTAGCCTCATACGGGTTCTTTTCTTTCTAACTTTCGCTGATTTCTCCAAAAAAGTACTATAAACACAAGACAAAATACGGCTTAAATTGCCGTTTAAATATCTTTTTTTTTGCAATTTTTTGAGTTGGCTCAACGATCTGGAGATCAGTTCTGCTATTTACAGTGAACTCAATCCAATTTCCTAATCAAATTTTCATTTCCATTTTCAAATTCAATCATTAAGGGGAATTAACTTCAAAGACGCCAATTGATATCTAACAAACGGCACGCTAAGCACTTACAGAGGCAAACGAAGCTTCGAATTACTTGCAATACAACACAAACAAAAAAAGCGAAATAAGATAAATGTTAAATACCAAAATTTAAATTATTGTATGCCTCGATAGAAGACCATTCTAAGCAAACGCGCCAGATTTTTGAATAAAAAATAGAACCGGAAAAAATTACGAAGGGGAAACAAAGACGATTATTTTCGAACAGACTGTGAGCCAAAAATTTTTTTTAAAAAAAACATAAGTTTAAAGTCACTCTAGAAACTGCAACGAACAAATTTTGTGACACTTAATGAAACTTGAGTAAAGCACAAGAAAACTCGGTTATGAGGCAAAGAAGCCGACAGTTTTTAAGCAAGACCAGATGAGCCAAAAAAAACTAGTTTTTTTTTTTAAAATTAAACTATATTAAGTCTTTCCTGAAACTACAATGAACAACACTTGCAACTACAATGAAAATTGCTTACAGAACAAGCAAAATCTGTGATATGGCAACAACGCCGACAAAACTTCCATCAATACAATTTTAAGCGGAAAAAAAATTTCAATTGCAGACATGCTGAAAAAAAACTAGGTCCGGTCGGTACTCGAACCCCTGGCCTTCGGGTGCAAGGCCACGGCGTTACCTGTAGGCCACGTGAAAATTAACATAGAAGTTGTTAGGATGCAATAAAAAGCAAGTATGAAAAGCAAGTAAGATTTGTAAGAAAAGTTCTTAACGGGAAAATGTCTAGTTCCCAATTACAAGATACTTGCTCTCGCAAGTGTAATGAGTTTAAAAAATTGCTGTCCCAGTCTATTCACTCATTTAACAAGTTATCTTTACAAAATTTCAATTTCAATAGACGCATGCTATCCAAATTAAAATAAACATCCCAGATTCATATTTTACTGTATTTAACTAAATCATCGTTAGATCAAAATTACTGAGACTTGAAAACGTCGATTGCAACTGCACAGAGTGAATTTGTATTAGTTTCAATCAGATTGATTTGAGAGAAACATTTGAAAGACACATTTGAAAGAAGATTCTTGAATGCGACAAGATGGTTTTGAACTAGTTTTCACGATTAGTTGAAGGAAAGAAAGCCAACTGACAGTTGGAAAAGAGTAATGAACGCAAAGCAACAGTTAAAAAAATTTTTTTGGTGGGTTATCTGATAATTAAATTTCATCTTCGAAATTATAAGTCGATCACCTTTAGTTATTTGCTGTTTGGAAGTGTAGTTTGCCTTCCTTTTAACAAAGGAAATGGAGTGAACAAAAATACTGAAACAGCGAAAATTCAAAATTGAATCTGAACAAATTTGCAGTCTTTTCCCTGGAAAAAACCTCAAAAAAACACAATGACTATTTTCATTACTCTTATAGTACACGACTCAGAGCTAGCAAAACATTAGTATAAATTAACTTTCATTCATAATTAGATTAATTTAAAAAAAGTACGACCATACATAAAAAATAAAACTTCAGAGCTGTTCAATCTTATTTTGTTTTTCGCCGAAGAAGCTATAGTAGACAGCTCAAAAGTGAAATAACAGCACAGTATAAAAATCTAATTGTTAATATTTTTAACATAAATTATCAGTATAAAATTATCCGTGAACTATTAGGTCCTTTAGTTTCTGATCAAACTTAAAATCAAAACATTTATATTCAATTTGAGTTCAATTTTTGGTTAAAAGGGCCCAACTTATAACCTAAACGTTGAATTTAATCTCAGAGACAAAAACCTTAACTAGTTCGATCACAAATTCGGTAAACAGCTCCTGATTTACGCATCAGGTTTTTCTAAATTGACGCAACTGCCAGGCAGTGACATTCAATTATGGAGTAGAAAATAAAATGAATAAGATTAGAGTTTTCACACTTTTGTTCACACAAGTTGGGTTGTCACACTGTTCGCTTTTCACACCATGTCTTGCTTATATATTATCGTTCTTTCCTTGTCGAAAGTGTGACCAATTACTTTTTTCACCCTGTTTTCATTCAACCTCATGCTATATGTTATGTTCTGTTATTCTAAACTGTTGACATTCTATTCTGATCACGCTACAGCCTCCTGCTTGGCCTCCTCGGCTGACTTCTTCGCGTCATCGGCCGCCTCCTTGCTCTGCTCCTTCGCTTTCTCCATCTCCTTCTGAGGACTGAAACTCTCAGCGCCTCTCTTCATCAACTCAATCGTCTTGCTGATCTCGTGATCGCCATCTACACCCGCCTGGTGACTAGCCTAAAGCCATGCAAAAATCAGCCAAGTCATTAGAAGCCAAACATTTTCAATCAGAACATTTTGTCAATATGGTGAAACATTATCATAGTAGTTTTCTTGCCCAGCAAAGCAATCACAAGTGAAAAGAAATCGAAAGTCAAACCGCGAAAATTCAAGTTAGAGCGTGAACACGTTTTAAGACTTTAACTGCAAAAAATCATCACGACCTATATAAAAATCCTCTCGACATTCACCGACTAATAAAAACGGGTGGACCATAATAGTAAACCAAAAATGTGTAATTTGTGCATCCTTCAAGTATTCACATGATCACATGGTGGGAAGACTTAGATTTATACAAAAAAAAACGAGTTTCTATTGCAAAACAAAAACTGGAACAAACATTGATATGAACTGGTTCTTGCCGTGAGCCCAAGATTTTCAAAACTAGCTTGCTAACTAGATTAGGAAAGCTCAATTCTATGCACAACAGAAATAAACGTTACCTAATTTGGTTTTCCTATTTTTATTAATTCTTGAAACTTCGATTTCTCAAACGCAACCCTTAAACAAAGTGCGTTTTGCAATATTGCAATCCGCTGGCCACATACTTTATATTACCTCTCAATTTCCTTAGAAAAAATGACTAGCTCGTTATGTCTAAGACAACAGAACCTTGTCAAAATAAGTCTTCCGCTTTGGCATTGAAAAATCGTATAACAACAGTACTGATGATTAGTCGTATTCTAGTTTGACTGATTGAAAACCAATCCAGCGCATATTTTTTTCTAACATATCAAACCATACGCTCAGCTGAAAAATCTTCTTGAGCTCAGCTGCAGATGTTCTTTTGTTGTCAAATGAATTGGAAATGAATCCAACAAAAACAACATAATTTCTTCTATATGCCGCATAATGAATGTCGCAAAATGTTTTTATTGTATATTTTATAGTTTTTTTAGTCTAGACAACTGCTGGATTCGACTGCAAACAACACATAATATGGAAGAGTGTTGAATTCAAATATCCACATAAAATCTATTATGAATCGAACACATTCATAGAAATAAGAGATCTTGTTAACTACCCCCCCCCCTCCCTCTTCTATTCGCTCGACCACCCCTCATAAGGGCTACCAACTAAAAAAAATTTCTAGCAAAAACCTGACTGAAAACTTGAAAAAAAAACGGGTTTTGCTAACAAAAAACTGAATTTAACTACAGTTGATTTCAAGTCAAAACATTTTGTCGGTCACAGCTAAAGCCCATGGAAAATTTGCAGTCACCGACGGCCCGAAAACACTTTCCTATATCTCTGAAAAAAAAACTGTTATAAAAGAATCTGTGATAAAAACGATCATTTTGACCCAAAACAAAACAAGATTAAAGGAACACAAATAGTAAACCCATAATGAGAGACTTGTCGTACAGCAGAGAACTAAAATAGACCACAAGAGGCTGGTATTTAAAAAAAAAGAGACTAGTTGGTAACCCTGGACCTCATGTATGCATTTTTTCACAAAGAAATTCCGTATAAAATATGAATTTTGAAATTTTCATCATTTCAAAAAGTGGGTTCTATTAATGTTCCGGCTGAGCGATTCGATCAATAATAACCACAAATTGAAAACTTAGTCTTAGTGGCTTTTACTTTGCAGACGACATTTTTTTAGACAAAGCAAAAGCAAAGAGCAGAGAAATTAATTTTAAGATATTTTAGGCAAAGAAAACTTTTTTGAAACAAATAAAATCATCGTCTAGACAATATGAAATTATGCTCGCTTCAAAAAAAATTGATAAAATCTCGACAAAAAAATGAAACAAAAACTTGAATCAAAACTTAATCAAATAATTGAAGCAAAAACCAGCACTTCTGAATATTTATGCTTGGGGTGTTTTTTTATTCAGTCAAGTTTCGATTTTTCAACCAAGTGTTTCAGACGGAAATTATTTTTTCCATTTGAAAAATTATGTTGTAAGGAGCTCAAAACCTATAAAAATTATCATGCGATCATTTATCGTAAAATTATGTGGTTTGACAATTGCTAGTTTGGCCAATTGTGCAATAATTTAACAATTGTACAGTAATGATTAATTTATATTTCAACCACAAACTGTTTAATGCGCCTAAAAAAGTTTCCGACATTGAGGTTTTTGCCATGACATAAGAGCAATCTTGTTTGAGGCTCAAATATCGTATTATGTAATATTTCAAGTGAAAACCAAAAAGTCTGCTCGTATCAGGGTGAAGCCCTGAATTTTCTGCCTGCCTTTAAAACCCTATGAAATAATGCTCGCTTCGAAAAAATTGATAAAAATTTCAAAAAAGAAAACTTTTCATTTTTTATATCTTTTTTCAAGAAAGCCTCCCCTCACACGCTATGTTACCTGCAAAGTGATATAGTTCGCCTTTGCAAAGTATCAAACTGACCAACGAGCATGCCTCAATTCAATTTGGAACGAGTTCTAATACGGATTATATCTCCGCTTACGTTAACATCACGAAATAAATCGCTCGTAATTATCTAAAACTGCCAAAAATGGCGATCTTTAAACCCCCTATAACTTTACGAAAAATGACAACAGGTTAAATATCTTTCACCTCATTTGCGCTCATGACAACAAAACTTTTCGGATGATCAAAAAATTGTGCCGCGAAAAATTGCCAGTAAAAAGTCGGAATTAGCCTGGAGAAAATAAAACCACCCGAGCACAAATATTCCCTTCTTTTCTCCGAAAGTCGGAACAACAAATGACAGCTCTATCAAACAGAGGTTAAATTTAAAAGAAAATTGAACCTTCACCCAGCCACACACACACACGCACATTTGTACAGCCAAAGTTGAACCATTTCCAAAAAACGACTGGAAACAAGATCTAAAGTTAGGAAATAAGCCGATAGAATTAAAGCCGTCATTTAATAAGCTAAAAAACAGCCGATATCATACAGAAAAATCTTGCATCTAGCAAATACGAAGCAAGCTTTAGCCCTAAGAAGGCAAAACTTGTAAGATGCATATCTGTAAATTTACCACTTCGAAATTGCTCCGATAGGTACCATTCAGCGAAAAAAGTTATTTCCGAAAAAAATCTAGTACCCGGAACACACTTGCTATCGTAAATGAAAACAATTAACAAATTCATGCACGCAAAGATTCACAAAAATGACGTAATTTATTTCAGACTCAAATCTAGTTAAGTCTTACCTGAAAGATGGTGCAGCATGGACAGCAGTAGGATGCGAGACAGTCGAAGAGCAGGTTGCCATCCACTCCCTTGGCCTCCCTCACATGCATCCTCCAGCAGGGCAGTACCGCATACTGCACAATAGGGATCCCACTCAGAATCAGACACCTACATGTTATACTACACTTGTGAAACCTAAGATAATTAATTTACATATTTACCGTCAGTTACTATTGTTTTAGTTGCGTATCCCTAATATATATAATTTTTCAAATTCACTTTCTTTGGTTAGAAGAAAGTTAAATTTATCTGTTTTAGCAACTTTGATTTGTGTCACAAACACGTTGTCATGTTGCACTACTTACATCGGGGCTTACAAAATTTTATGATTAAGATAAGCACCAACATTTCATCCACGAGGGAAAAAAGACCAACACACGAGCTGTTCAGCTTTCTACATAGAACGGTTAAAAAACTACACGCAAGCTGGTTCTTCTGGGCTGAGAATTCTTCTGGGCTCCACTTACACTACATTGTATCAAATTGAGTGGTTGAAAAAACTAGTGACATAACTCAGCGTACAAGTATGATAGTTGAGTCCCTAAAATCAATTATAAAAGATTGGTCCCGCCTTTACAACTCAAAAACGCCAGATAACAAATTCAAAGTTGTTTCCGAAGATGTTAAGACGCATGAATTTTTCGTGATGAATCCATCAATATTTAAGGGACGCAATTATCATAATTGTTACAGTCAGGATACTGTACCTGTATCCGTCGCCTTCTCCGATCACTTTGTCGGCCGCAATTCCGAAGGGAGCGAAGGGGAAACAGTAGCTGAGCAGACAGAGCTTCCAGTCTGTGATACAGTCCTTGGGGTTCAAAAGTCCATACGAGAAACCGCCCATCTTAGTCGTAGAAGTTAAGTAGTACGTATAATGTATGATATGACTCAAATTGTACAATTGAATTGTCAAACAGGCCGAGATTGTATCTCAAATAAAGCAAAGTATCAAATAAGTGTAAAATCTGACTGATTGGAATTAGATTACAACCAACCGGGCTATTTGCGTCAGGGAAATCCTGTTGTCTTTTCTTGATTCACAAAAGATTTTGCTCGTACTGTTAAGTATCCACGGAACAATTAGCAGACTAAGTAGCTTTATTACAGCCCAATTTTGACGTGATATGAGTTAGTAAAATTAAAACACAGATTTGAAAAAGATAATAATGGTAAGTTGAGTATTTTTTACGGGTGGCAGTTTTGCGAGACAGAAACAGAGAGAAAATGTAAAGTTGGAATAGAGTAGAAAGAACTTTTGTGCTGCCGCTACTGTATAAGTGTGATGGTGCAAAAGTTGGTTAGTCGACAACAAACTATCTGAAATGAAAAGAAAGTGTTAACAAGAAGACCATTCATCCACCAGGGAAAATATAAGATTAGCACCCACTCAAGTTGCTCAGTTCATTGCATATCAGCGCGGGCCTACAAAATTCATCCCTTGATGAAGAGGTAAGCCAAGTTCATTTTCCCGGGTTGTAAAAATGGACCAAACTCAAGCAAGAAGCACCAATCACGGTGGCATCGAACAACTAACCTCTGGCGGTTCTTGTTTTCCTTTTTTCTAAGAACCACTAGCCTTTTTCTTAGACGAAATTTCTTTTAGCTAGAATTACCCTAATTGTTGTAATAAACTTATTTAATAGAGAACAAACATAAATCCTGATCATGCTGCATCCCCTGCTCAACAGCATTCTGATTCTAGCTCAACAGTGCTTCGCTTGCTTAACTTTCCCGACCAAACCCCAATTTGTGAGACAGGGAGCAAACGACAGTGTACCGTGCGGAGAGATGATTGAAGATGCAAGCTGGAACTCATCAATTACAAAAACAGAGGCAGTATCCAGCTCTATTCAAAATGTAATGCCAAACGTATTAAATGACATTAAAGGACAGATCGAATCATTGATAACATCAACCATTACTGAAGCGATTACGAAGGAAGTACTTGGAGTAGTAAAGAATGAATTGGTCCATATCGAAAGCAGGTCAAATCTAAATTCCCTATCCGAAGCAAATATTATTGAAAGCTAAAACAGGAGAGACAACGTGAAAAGTCTATGAATCCCTGAAGAAGCTAACGGTGGTAGACAACAAACAATGGAGGCAACCATTAAACAGTATTGAAGCCCATATATCGTAACAAGTCACATCAATAGCGCATAGGTTACCGTCGCGAAAGGCTAGAGTCAAACCTATCATTGTTCGTTTTGCTAAGCGAATGAAAAAAAGTCCATTTACTACAGAAGAAAAAAGAAATTGGCTCATCCTATGTCTATCAACCTGTAAAAAAAATCGAAGATATTAGTTCACCTCGAGTGAATTTCTTGCAGATGATGAAAGCAGATGCGCGCATTCAATCAGCATGGACAGGAGAAAGCAGTATCTTTGACCTACGGAAAATGACAAAAAATGTACAAAATTACTTGTTCATATGAAAGAATTGATACTCTGGGTTATAAATAATAGTGTAATGAATTGTTTCAATGGTACTTTCCCATATAACTCCGGCCAAGTGAGCTCATAAGTCTGAACCCCTTAGCTTATCTGAAAATAGCGGTGCTAATACTCTTAATATTTTATTATCCAATGTTAGATCTATTCATGAAGATCTAGAAGCACTTCTAAGTCTCGAGTCTCCATTTTATGTACTGTGTTAAACCGAAACTTGGCTAAAAGAAACAGATGAAGTAAATATGTTTGCCACCAAAGGATTTCATACAAATGGAAGCAACAACCGGAAAACTAGAGGTGGAGGTACTGTAATGCAACTAGGTGACAATGTAAACTTGATAGAACATCAGCATACTAATCTACCTGAATAATTTGCAGTATTTGCTGAAGCATTTGAGAATAAGATAATCATAAGAGTCGCTTATGTACCTCCTAGATATGAAAAAAAAAACAATTTGTCATTGAGTTAGACAAAGAATTGGAGATGCCGAGAAAACTGGTTGTTCTGACTGGTGATTTCAACATCAATTTACTCGCAGAAAATCATATTCAACAATCTTATGTAAAAACCATTATCGCAAATGGTTTTGAACTATTAAGTAGAAAATAAACTCGCATTACTGGGGTGGCTGGAAGTGTATTGATCCTCTGATAGCACGAAATATCGAAAATCATACATCAGAAATCTTGAAAACGATTGTTTCTCGGATCGTTGTCTAGTTATTTTGCAACTCAAATCAATGCCATTCGATTTGATATATTCCTCATTTCATGACATGTTCTTTTTGAACAACTAAAAAAAGCACAAGCGACTTTTTACTCCTTTTGAAGCAAACGTTGAAGAGATCTAATCAGCTCGAAAAGCCAGCAAACGATGTTGAATATAACAAATTTAGTCATTGCTTGATATCAATTTTAAGTAAATTTGCTCCGATTAGAAAATCACAAGCAAAAATACTAAGATGAATGCGCCGTGGCTTAAGAAGTCTAAAATGTTATTCAAAGCGTAACAAACTGCATAGGTTCTGGAAACTTGATTTTAATAATCTAATGAAGAAAAAAAACTTGTTAAATAAAAGGAAACAGAATTACAGCTAAGGAAAAGCAAAAGAGATTTTATTTTTGTTTTAATAAATTCAAAAACTGTTTTCTTCGTTCATTTCAGAAAAGCATTTGAGACTCTTGATATCAGAAATCTGTTGAATAAACGGGAAAAAAATATGGTGTCCGGGGTAATCGTCTTTCTTGATTTAGTACTTATTATCCTCAAAGACTCGAATGTGTTCATACAACGAACTGCTCGTCGGATTGGTTATCAGTGACCAACGGCGTTCCGCAGTGTTCTGTTTTAGGTCCTCTTTTCTGTCTAGTTTATATATATGATGTGCATTTTACTGCAACGAGTTCAAACGTTTTTCTATTTGCTGATGATATAAATGTAGCATATGAGAGTGCAAGTTTTGAATTCTTCAGCATGATCTAACAAAAATTTCATCTTCGATGAAATCGAATAAACTAACCATTAAATGAGAAAAAATAACCCTAATCAGTTTTGAAAAAATATATTGAGTGCTTCAAACTTTCATGTTTGTATTGATGATATTGTTTATAATCTCAAGCCGTCGTGTAAAAACAGGCGTAGTACTTGATAATAAGCTTACATTTGTTCACCCTGTCCAAAAATTAAAAAAGAAATTAGGGAGGCATTGCTGTTGTTTCAACACTACGTTCCGAAATTTGTTTTACTATAAAACTATAATGCTAAAATAAAGCCGATAATACAGTATGGCTTGCTGATGAACGGTACTAGTTTTTCAGTTTTGAATCAAGCTCTAATGTATCAGCGGAAAATAATCCAAACGATGATTTTCAAAAGAAAACTCGACACTATAACCAAATCTTTTCTTGGTAATTTTGTCTCTTCACGAAATACAGAACGTTACTGATATACTGAAGTTTTGTGTGAGATCTTTAAATAGTAGATACCCGATTGTATATCTGAATTCTCTGTTTTCTTTCCATACATTTGTTTATAAAACCAGTAACGCGGGTAAATAAACCTATTGCCCTCTTTTTTGCAAAAATAAAACTAAGTTGTACTCATTAGCTAATAGAGGTTCAAGGTTGCTTAATATGGTGAGGGAAAATAACCTTCTGCCTAACAAAGGCAAAATGATGAAATTATATTCGTCCACAAATTAAGAGACAATTACATCCTCGGTAGTAATGAGTTAGTATAGAGTGTATTTAATTGATTTGATTTTTTCCTGTCCAAATTGGCGGCTTAACCTGGATGCTACCAGAGACCCATCTGAGGCTCTAATTCTATCCCAGAAATATGACCTTCCAGATGTTGCTAGTTTTCAACTGTAAAAAAAATTCATTGAAAAAGAATTCTGCTTAAATAATTATCTATATTTACACGTTAACGTTTTATGTCTGAGTCAGTGTATGCCGGGCAGACATTCAGGGGGCATCTAATCTGACCTTAGTCTACCCTCTTCAGACAATTCGTATATTTCAGGGGCGGATTTAGGGGGGGGGGCGGACGCCCCCCCCCCCCCCCCCCCTCAGGGATTCGACCCCCTGCCGACCCAAAGGGTCCCCCCTTTGATACTTTTTCAGAAATCCAATTTTGGCCGACCGACCCTAAAATTTTTCTTAAGGCGCCTTGGGCGCCAATATATACTAACTTTGAGGGGGAACGCGCGCCAAAAAAAAACGCGATTTTTTTGCCAAAGTTTTTCAAAAAGTGCCCAAAAACGGCTTTTTTGACTGTTTGTTTCAAAAATTTGCCTGCGGCGCAGAAAATTTTGCAAAAAAGGTCGTCAAAATTTTGGAAAACTTTTTGAAAATCCGCCCCCCCCCCCCCTCGAGAAAATCCTAGATCCGCCCCTGGTATATTTACCAAAATTTAACTGCTTAATTTGTTTAACTCTTTTGCAATAATCTATTTGTATGTCTGAAGAAACAAATTGTTTCTTTCTTTTCTCGACACTCCATACTTGGCCCAACATAATGCTTTAAAACTTACCTCGGTCATCTTTGCAAGGTTTAGGGGTTAATAACTCAGCCCAAAAAAAGTCTATCACTCATTTAAAATAAGTATTGTGTATCAACAGACAAAAACAATTGAGAAATCGGAGGGTGACAAAATTGAAGGCTGACCTATCGTATTTGAACCAGTTGAGTGGATACGCTAAATTGAAAATCAAACATCTGAATGAAGAAACTTCAATAAAATGAACATTAAGTTTAATTTTTGTTGAAGAGAAAATATAAGAGCTCAGTTTATCTGATCAGCGCAAAACTCAAAAGGAACTTCAAGCTGATTTTGAGAAGTGGACAAAAAGCAATTGAAAATTTTTAAAAGTTACATGCAAAAAACTGCTATTTAGTTACAGCTCAAGAACTAATCAAGGACTGCTATTTGACAGAAAAAAATGACAGCCACAGCAAAAAAATTATGAAACAAAAAAAATTAGCTCAACATTTTGAGCTGTTTAATAATCAACATGAACAATGAATAGCTTTGTCAAATAGTGGTAATAGCTAGAGATAACAAAAACAACAAGCACAAGTGTTCTTTTGGTAACAGGAAGATAAAACTCACTGCAGCAAATAAAAATGGAGAACACATAAATATCCAGGCTGCACATGAGAATACCTCTCGACAGAAGAAATAAACGACAGAAAGATATCAGTCGACCCGAATCGATTTTGAAAAAATGGATGCTATTGTCATTCCCGAACGACCGCAGATTCCCAACCAATAAATGTTCTATAAACTGCTCGAAACAGTCTGACCAAATTTTAAGCCGTACGATCCAACGGACATTTGAAGTTCCCCCACGTGGCGATAATTC